GGGTTGTGCTGGGTGTGTGCTGGGTGTGTGCTGGGTGTTAGGTGCTGGGTGTGTGCTGGGTGTTAGGTGCTGGGTGTGAGCTGGGTTTGTGCTGGGTGCTGGGTGAGGGTGTGTGCTGGGTGTGAGCTGGGTGCTGGGTGTGTGCTGGGTGTGAGCTGGGTTTGTGCTGGGTGCTGGGTGTGTGCTGGGTGTGTGCTGGGTGTGAGCGGGGTTTGTGCTGGGTGCTGGGTGTGTGCTGGGTGTGTGCAGGGTGTGAGCGGGGTTTGTGCTGGGTGCTGGGTGTGAGCTGGGTGCTGGGTGTGTGCTGGGTGTGAGCTGGGTTTGTGCTGGGTGCTGGGTGTGTGCTGGGTGTGTGTTAGGTGCTGGGTGTGTGCTGGGTGAGGGTGTGTGCTGGGTGAGGGTGTGTGCTGGATGAGGGTGTGTGCTGGGTGCTGGGTGAGGGTGTGTGCTAGGTGCTGGGTGTGTGCTGGGTGAGGGTGTGTGCTGGGTGAGGGTGTGTGCTGGGTGAGGGTGTGTGCTGGGTGAGGGTGTGTGCTGGGTGAGGGTGTGGGTGTGTGCTGGGTGAGGGTGTGTGCTGGGTGCTGGGTGCTGGGTGCTGGATGAGGGTGTGTGCTGAGTGCTGGGTGTGTGCTGGGTGAGGGTGGGAACTGGGTGCTGGGTGAGGGTGTGTGCTGGGTGCTGGGTGCTGGGTGAGGGTGTGGGTGGGTGCTGGGTGCTGGGTGAGGGTGTGGGTGGGTGCTGGGCGCTGGGTGAGGGTGTGGGTGGGTGCTGGGTGAGGGTGTGTGCTGGGTGCTGGGTGAGGGAGTGAGCTGGGTGAGGGTGTGTGCTGGGTGAGGGTATGTGCTGGGTGCTGGGTGAGGGTGTGTGCTGGGTGCTGGGTGAGGGTGTGTGCTGGGTGAGGGTGTGTGCTGGGTGCTGGGTGAGGGTGTGTGCTGGGTGCTGGGTGCTGGGTGCTGGGTGAGGGTGTGTGCTGAGTGCTGGGTGTGTGCTGGGTGAGGGTGGGAACTGGGTGCTGGGTGAGGGTGTGTGCTGGGTGCTGGGTGCTGGGTGAGGGTGTGGGTGGGTGCTGGATGCTGGGTGAGGGTGTGGGTGGGTGCTGGGTGAGGGTGTGTGCTGGGTGCTGGGTGAGGGAGTGAGCTGGGTGAGGGTGTGTGCTGGGTGAGGGGGTGTGCTGGGTGAGGGTGTGTGCTGGGTGCTGGGTGTGTGCTGGGTGAGGGTGTGTGCTGGGTGCTGGGTGAGGGTGGGAGCTGGGTGCTGGGTGAGGGGGTGTGCTGGGTGAGGGTGTGTGCTGGGTGCTGGGTGAGGGTGTGTGCTGGGTGCTGGGTGAGGGTGGGAGCTGGGTGCTGGGTGAGGGGGTGTGCTGGGTGAGGGTGTGTGCTGGGTGCTGGGTGTGTGCTGGGTGAGGGTGTGTGCTGGGTGCTGGGTGAGGGTGGGAGCTGGGTGCTGGGTGAGGGAGTGAGCTGGATGAGGGTGTGTGCTGGGTGAGGGTGTGTGCTGGGTGCTGGGTGTGTGCTGGGTGAGGGTGTGTGCTGGGTGCTGGGTGAGGGTGGGAGCTGGGTGCTGGGTGAGGGTGTGTGCTGGGTGCTGGGTGAGAGTGTGGGTGTGTGCTGGGTGAGGGTGTGTGCTGGGTGAGGGGTGCTGGGTGAGGGTGTGTGCTGGGTGAGGGTGTGTGCTGGGTGAGGGGGTGTGCTGGGTGAGGGTGTGTGCTGGGTGAGGGTGTGTGCTGGGTGCTGGGTGAGGGTGTGTGCTAGGTGCTGGGTGTGTGCTGGGTGAGGGTGTGTGCTGGGTGCTGGGTGAGGGTGTGTGCTGGGTGCTGGGTGAGGGTGTGTGCTGGGTGAGGGTGTGTGCTGGGTGAGGGTGTGTGCTGGGTGAGGGTGTGTGCTGGGTGCTGGGTGAGGGTGTGTGCTGGGTGCTGGGTGAGGGTGTGTGCTGGGTGAGGGTGTGTGCTGGGTGCTGGGTGAGGGTGTGTGCTGGGTGAGGGTGTGTGCTGGGTGAGGGTGTGTGCTGGGTGAGGGTGTGTGCTGGGTGCTGGGTGAGGGTGTGTGCTGGGTGAGGGTGTGTGCTGGGTGAGGGTGTGTGCTGGGTGAGGGTGTGTGCTGGGTGAGGGTGTGTGCTGGGTGCTGGGTGAGGGTGTGTGCTGGGTGCTGGATGAAGGTGTGTGCTGGGTGCTGGGTGAGGGTGTGGGTGTGTGCTGGGTGCTGGGTGCTGGGTGAGGGTGTGTGCTGAGTGAGCGTGTGTGCTGGGTGAGGGTGTGTGCTGGGTGCTGGATGCTGGGTGAGGGTGTGTGCTGGGTGCTGGATGCTGGGTGAGGGTGTGTGCTGGGTGCTGGGTGCTGGGTGAGGGTGTGTGCTGAGTGAGCGTGTGTGCTGGGTGAGGGTGTGTGCTGGGTGCTGGGTGAGGGTGTGTGCTGGGTGCTGGGTGAGGGTGTGTGCTGGGGGCTGGGTGAGGGTGTGTGCTGGGTGAGGGTGTGCTGGGTGAGGGTGTGTGCTGGGTGAGGGTGTGTGCTGGGTGAGGGTGTGTGCTGGGTGAGGGTGTGTGCTGGGTGCTGGGTGAGGGTGTGTGCTGGGTGCTGGGTGAGGGTGTGGGTGTGTGCTGGGTGCTGGATGCTGGGTGAGGGTGTGTGCTGGGTGCTGGGTGCTGGGTGAGGGTGTGTGCTGAGTGAGCGTGTGTGCTGGGTGAGGGTGTGTGCTGGGTGCTGGGTGAGGGTGTGTGCTGGGTGCTGGGTGAGGGTGTGTGCTGGGTGCTGGGTGAGGGTGGGTACTGGGTGAGGGTGTGTGCTGGATGCTGGGTGAGGGTGTGTGCTGGGTGCTGGGTGCTGGGTGAGGGTGTGTGCTGAGTGAGCGTGTGTGCTGGGTGAGGGTGTGTGCTGGGTGCTGGGCGAGGGTGTGTGCTGGGTGCTGGGTGAGGGTGTGTGCTGGGTGCTGGGTGAGGGTGGGTACTGGGTGAGGGTGTGTGCTGGATGCTGGGTGAGGGTGTGTGCTTGGTGCTGGGTGCTGTGTGATTGTGTGTGCTGAGTGAGGGTGTGTGCTGGGTGAGGGTGTGTGCTGGGTGCTGGGTGAGGGTGTGTGCTGGGTGCTGGGTGAGGGTGTGTGCTGGGTGCTGGGTGAGGGTGGGTACTGGGTGAGGGTGTGTGCTGGATGCTGGGTGAGGGTGTGTGCTTGGTGCTGGGTGCTGTGTGATTGTGTGTGCTGAGTGAGGGTGTGTGCTGGGTGAGGGTGTGTGCTGGGTGCTGGGTGAGGGTGTGTGCTGGGTGCTGGGTGAGGGTGTGTGCTGGGTGCTGGGTGAGGGTGGGTACTGGGTGAGGGTGTGTGCTGGATGCTGGGTGAGGGTGTGTGCTTGGTGCTGGGTGCTGTGTGATTGTGTGTGCTGAGTGAGGGTGTGTGCTGGGTGAGGGTGTGTGCTGGGTGCTGGGTGAGGGTGTGTGCTGGGTGAGGGTGTGTGCTGGGTGCTGGGTGAGGGTGTGTGCTGGGTGAGGGTGTGTGCTGGGTGAGGGTGTGCTGGGTTTGTGCAGGGGGCCGGGTGAAGGCTTGGTGGGTTCCATCCTGAGTAAGTAGCAGCAGCAGTAGCATGAGCAGCAGCTCATTAGCTGCAACTCAGCATTAGCAGTTCAGTAGCAGCAGCAACAACAACAGCAGCAGTAGCAGTCACAAAAGCAATATCAGTAGTAGTAGTAGTAGTGATAGAGCCTCAGCGGCAGCAGCAGAAACAACAGAAGTCACAACAGTAGCAGAGAGAACAACAACTGCTCTATTACCCACAACAGCGGTTATAACACGAAGCGGTGCGTTGTTTCATGCAATAATTGTTCTCATCCCTAACCATCCTTCCGATCTTCACAGGTGACCCCTGTACGTTGCTCCAGCCTTCCCCTGCACCATACCAGTCATACTTCAAAGTCCATCCCAGTCCCATTACTCCATACTAAGCACCACAGCCCAACACCCTCCTCACACCCCTACGGACGCCTCCTCACACCGTCAATCTATGAAGCAAGAAGCATTATGAGACCTGTGTACGTGACACCACACACCACCTCTCCTCCTACACCCAAGCGACCACCCCGCGGGTAGTGAGAGTGCCGGGCCAGCACCACCACTGTCCCACACAACCAGCGGCCACTGCTGCAGTACAGTGCCGATGACGGCCTCCGTACAGTGTCTGGCGCAGTGGGCTGACCTGAGACATTATTCATATTGAGACTTGGGCCTGATGTGTCAATCTCCTGCCAGGTGTGTTGTGAGAGAGACATTAAATGCTCCCACCAGGAATACCAGCACAGCCCACTATTATGTAGAGCAGGCGGGGCTTAATAGCCGCAGCGGCCCTGGCTCTTAGCGTCGGCCCCCTGGCTCCTGAAGTAGTGTCGTCGGCTCTTGTAAGCGACGCCCCCGATGACTGTGGTAGTAGTGTCGTCGGCTCTTGTTAGCGAAGCCCCCGATGACTGTGGTAGTGTCGTTGGCTCTTGTAAGCGACGCCCCGATGACTGTGGTAGTGTCGTTGGCTCTTGTTAGCGACGCTCCGATGACTGTGGTAGTGTCGTTGGCTCTTGTTAGCGACGCCCCGATGACTGTGGTAGTGTCGTCGGCTCTAGTTAGCGACGCCCCCGATGACTGTGGTAGTGTCGTCGGCTCTTGTTAGCGAAGCCCCCGATGACTGTGGTAGTGTCGTTGGCTCTTGTAAGCGACGCCCTCGATGACTGTGGTAGTAGTGTCGTCGGCTCTTGTTAGCGACGCCCCGATGACTGTGGTAGTGTCGTCGGCTCTTGTTAGCGACGCCCCGATGACTGTGGTAGTGTCGTCGGCTCTTGTTAGCGACGCCCCGATGACTGTGGTAGTGTCGTCGGCTCTTGTTAGCTACGCCCTCGATGACTGTGGTAATAGTGTCGTCGGCTCTTGTTAACGACGCCCCGATGACTGTGGTAGTAGTGTCGTCGGCTCTTGTTAGCGACGCCCCGATGACTGTGGTAGTAGTGTCGTCGGCTCTAGTTAGCGACGCCCCCGATGACTGTGGTAGTGTCGTCGGCTCTTGTTAGCGACGCCCCGATGACTGTGGAAGTAGTGTCGTCGGCTCTTGTTAACGACGCCCCGATGACTGTGGTAGTAGTGTCGTCGGCTCTTGTTAGCGAAGCCCCGATGACTGTGGTAGTAGTGTCGTCGGCTCTTGTTAACGACGCCCCGATGACTGTGGTAGTAGTGTCGTCGGCTCTTGTTAACGACGCCCCGATGACTGTGGTAATAGTGTCGTCGGCTCTTGTTAGCGACGCCCCGATGACTGTGGTAGTAGTGTCGTCGGCTCTTGTTAGCGAAGCCCCGATGACTGTGGTAGTAGTGTCGTCGGCTCTTGTTAGCGACGCCCCGATGACTGTGGTAGTAGTGTCGTCGGCTCTTGTTAACGACGCCCCGATGACTGTGGTAGTAGTGTCGTCGGCTCTTGTTAGCGACGCCCCGATGACTGTGGTAGTAGTGTCGTCGGCTCTTGTTAACGACGCCCCGATGACTGTGGTAGTAGTGTCGTCGGCTCTTGTTAGCGAAGCCCCGATGACTGTGGTAGTAGTGTCGTCGGCTCTTGTTAGCGAAGCCCCCGATGACTGTGGTAATAGTGTCGTCGGCTCTTGTTAGCGAAGCCCCCGATGACTGTGGTAGTAGTGTCGTCGGCTCTTGTTAGCGACGCCCCGATGACTGTGGTAGTGTCGTTGGCTCTTGTTAGCGACGCCCCCGATGACTGTGGTAGTAGTGTCGTCGGCTCTTGTTAGCGACGCCACCGATGACTGTGGTAGTAGTGTCGTCGGCTCTTGTTAGCGAAGCCCCGATGACTGTGGTAGTAGTGTCGTCGGCTCTTGTTAGCGAAGCCCCGATGACTGTGGTAGTAGTGTCGTCGGCTCTTGTTAGCGAAGCCCCGATGACTGTGGTAGTAGTGTCGTCGGCTCTTGTTAACTACGCCCTCGATGACTGTGGTGGTAGTGTCGTCGGCTCTTGTTAGCTACGCCCCCGATGACTGTGGTAGTAGTGTCGTCGGCTCTTGTTAACTACGCCCTCGATGACTGTGGTAGTAGTGTCGTCGGCTCTTGTTAGCGACGCCCCCGATGACTGTGGTAGTGTCGTTTACCCGACGCTGCAATAGCTCGGAAGTGGTCATCCAAACTACCTATAATATGGTAGTAGTGAATACAGAGCGTCAAATGAGTAAGAGAATGCTTGAGAGCCAAGCAAGTGGTGATGCAGAACCAAGAGCAACAAAAGAAGTAGCAGGAGCTACAGTAGAGTAGCAACAACAGCCTCAGTAGCAGCAACAACAGCCACAGTAGCAGCAACAACAGCCTCAGTAGCAGTAACAACAGCCACAGTAGCAGCAACAACAGCCACAGTAGCAGCAACAACAATCACAGTAGCAGCATCAACAGCTACAGTAGCAGCGACAACAGCCTCAGTAGCAGTAACAACAGCCACAGTAGCAGTAACAACAGCCACAGTAGCAGCAACAACAGCCACAGTAAGAGTAACAACAGCCACAGTAGCAGCAACAACAGCCACAGTAGCAGCAACAACAATCACAGTAGCAGCATCAACAGCCACAGTAGCAGCGACAACAGCCTCAGTAGCAGTAACAACAGCCACAGTAGCAGCAACAACAGCCACAGTAGCAGCAACAACAGCCACAGTAAGAGTAACAACAGCCACAGTAGCAGTAACAACAGCCACAGTAGCAGCAACAACAGCCACAGTAGCAGTAACAACAGTCACAGTAGCAGTAACAACAGCCACAGTAGCAGTAACAACAGTCACAGCAGCAGTAACAACAGCCACAGTAGCAGTAACAACAGCCACAGTAGCAGTAACAACAGCCACAGTAGCAGCAACAACAGTCACAGTAGCAGTAACAACAGCCTCAGTAGCAGTAACAACAGCCACAGTAAGAGTAACAACAGCCACAGTAGCAGTAACAACTGCCACAGTAGCAGGAACAACAATCACAGTAGCAGCAACAACAGCCACAGTAGCAGTAACAACAGCCACAGTAGCAGCAACAACAGCCACAGTAGCAGTAACAACAGTCACAGTAGCAGTAACAACAGCCACAGTAGCAGTAACAACAGCCACAGTAGCAGCAACAACAGTCACAGTAGCAGTAACAACAGCCTCAGTAGCAGTAACAACAGCCACAGTAAGAGTAACAACAGCCACAGTAGCAGTAACAACTGCCACAGTAGCAGCAACAACAATCACAGTAGCAGTAACAACAGCCACAGTAGCAGTAACAACAGCCACAGTAGCAGTAACAACAGCCACAGTAGCAGTAACAACAGCCACAGTAGCAGTAACAACAGCCACAGTAGCAGTAACAACAGCCACAGTAGCAGTAACAACAGCCACAGTAGCAGCAACAACAGCCACAGTAGCAGCAACAACAGCCACAGTAGCAGCAACAACAGCCACAGTAGCAGCAACAACAGCCACAGTAGCAGCAACAACAGTCACAGTAGCAGCAACAACAGCCACAGTAGCAGCAACAACAGCCACAGTAGCAGTAACAACAGCCACAGTAGCAGCAACAACAGCCACAGTAGCAGCAACAACAGCCACAGTAGCAGCAACAACAACCACAGTAGCAGCAACAACAGCCACAGTAGCAGTAACAACAACCACAGTAGCAGCAACAACAGTCACAGTAGCAGCAACAACAGTCACAGTAGCAGCAACAACAGCCACAGTTGCAGTAACAACAGCCACAGTAGCAGCAACAACAACCACAGTTGCAGCAACAACAGCCACAGTAGCAGCGACAACAGCCACAGTAGCAGTAACAACAGCCACAGTAGCAGCAACAACAGCCACAGTAGCAACAACAACAGTCACAGTAGCAGCAACAACAGCCACAGTAGCAGCAACAACAGCCACAGTAGCAGTAACAACAGCCACAGTAGCAGTAACAACAGCCACAGTAGCAGTAACAACAGCCACAGTAGCAGCAACAACTGTCACAGTAGCAGCAACAACAGTTACAGTAGCAGTAACAACAGCCACAGTAGAAGCAACAACAGCCACAGTAGCAGTAACAACAGCCACAGTAGCAGTAACAACAGCCACAGTAGCAGCAACAACAGCCACAGTAGCAGTAACAACAGCCACAGTAGCAGCAACAACAGCCACAGTAGCAGCAACAACAGCCACAGTAGCAGCAACAACAGCCACAGTAGCAGTAACAACAGCCACAGTAGCAGTAACAACAGCCACAGTAGCAGTAACAACAGCCACTGTAGCAGTAGCAACAGCCACAGTAGCAGTAACAACAGCCACAGTAGCAGTAACAACAGCCACAGTAGCAGTAGCAACAGCTACAGTAGCAGTAACAACAGCAACAGTAGCAGCAACAACAACCACAGTAGCAGCAACAACAGCCACAGTAGCAGCAACGACAACCACAGTAGCAGCAACAGCCACAGTAGCAATAACAACAGCCACAGTAGCAGCAACAACAACCACAGTAGCAGCAACAACAGCCACAGTAGCAGCAACAACTGCCACAGTAGCAGCAACAACAGCCACAGTAGCAGCAACAACAGCCACAGTAGCAATAACAACAGTCACAGTAGCAGCAACAACAACCACAGTAGCAGCAACAACAGCCACAGTAGCAATAACAACAGCCACAGTAGCAGCAACAACAACCACAGTAGCAGCAACAACAGCCACAGTAGCAATAACAACAGCCACAGTAGCAATAACAACAGCCACAGTAGCAATAACAACAGCCACAGTAGCAGCAACAACAACCACAGTAGCAATAACAACAGCCACAGTAGGTGCAACAACAACCACAGTAGCAGCAACAACAGCCACAGTAGCAGCAACAACAACCACAGTAGCAGCAACAACAGCCACAGTAGCAGCAACAACAGCCACAGTAGCAGCAACAACAGCCACAGTAGCAGCAACAACAGCCACAGTAGCAATAACAACAGCCACAGTAGCAATAACAACAGCCACAGTAGCAATAACAACAGCCACAGTAGCAATAACAACAGCCACAGTAGCAATAACAACAGCCACAGTAGCAGCAACAACTGCCACAGTAGCAGCAACAACAGCCACAGTAGCAATAACAACAGCCACAGTAGCAGCAACAACAACCACAGTAGCAGCAACAACAGCCACAGTAGCAGCAACAACAGCCACAGTAGCAGCAACAACAGCCACAGTAGCAGCAACAACAGCCACAGTAGCAGTAACAACAGCCACAGTAGCAGCAACAACAACCACAGTAGCAGCAACAACAGCCACAGTAGCAGCAACAACAGCCACAGTAGCAATAACAACAGCCACAGTAGCAGCAACAACAGCCACAGTAGCAGCAACAACAGCCACAGTAGCAATAACAACAGCCACAGCCACAGTAACAGCCACCTCCCTGGGGCCAACGACCGGCCCCAGGGAGCCGGTCGACCGAGCGGACAGCACGCTGGACTTGTGATCCTGTGGTCCTGGGTTCGATCCCAGGCGCCGGCGAGAAACAATGGGCAGAGTTTCTTTCACCCTATGCCCCTGTTAGCTAGCAGTGAAATAGGTACCTGGGAGTTAGTCAGCTGTCACGGGCTGCTTCCTGGGGGTAGAGGCCTGGTCGAGGACCGGGCCGCGGGGACACTAAAAAGCCCCGAAATCATCTCAAAATATCCTCAAGATAACCAGTAGCAGTAACAACAGCCACAGCAGCAGTAACAACAGTTACAGTAGCAGTAACAACAGCCACAGTAGCAATAACAACAGTCACAGTATCAGTAACAACAGTTACAGTAGCAGTAACAACAAGGGTGATAGACACAGATAGGGTGATAGTCACAGTAGCAGTAACAACAGCCACAGTAGCAATAACAACAGCCACAGTAGCAGCAACAACAGCCTCAGTAGCAGCAACAACAACCACAGTAGCAATAACAACAGCCACAGTAGCAGCAACAACATTATCATTACTAATCGATGTTCACAGTTGATGCATATAAACACATACGGTGCTTATATCCCATGCAACTGCTGTTTTTCAATCACAGTAGTTGATAATAAACTAAGTGAGGTATCCGGCGGTGCCCGGGTTCACCCTAAAAGCTTGCCAAACTAAAGTGTTGCAGGAAACATTAGTATTAACAAATTATAAAACTCTCCGGACAGAGCTCCGAACTCACATCCGCATCAACAGTTTTCTTGCTCCCAGTCCAACCACTTGGACTGAAGGGTAGAGCGACGGTCTCGCTTCTTGCAGGTCGGCGTTCAATCCCCGACCGTCCAAATGGTTGGATACCATTCTATCCCTCCGTCCCATCCCAAATGCTTATCCTGACCTCTTCCCAGTGCTATATAGTCGCAATGGCTTAGCGCTTTCTCTTAATAATTTCCTCCCTCTCTTGCTCCCACCAGTTACCCTGCTAAGCTTCTTCCTATTTTATTGATTCCATTCTTTCTACATGTGTTTACAATTCTTCTTTCTACCAATGTTTATCCTTCTTCACTTGCCCTTTCTCTGTCTTTACTCTCCTTCTTCTAATTCCCTTTTATACGCTTTCCCTTTTTCTCCTTACCTTTTTCATTCTTCTTTCTTCTCTCTCTGTTTAGCCTCTTTGTGGTTATCC